TGTGTGTTTAGATCCTGTCCCGGAAGGTGACACTTTGTGGTCCTGTGGATGACTTTAGGAAAATCACAACATGATGTGCAGAAGTTGTACAAAATATTTGATATTATTTTTTCTGATTAGAAAAGTCATATGAACATATTATTAAAGCTTGAAAACTACAGAAAGAATAAAGAAAACCCCCCCCCCATTCTAACCCTTAGTAAAGCCTCTATTAGCATAATTGTTTTTCTCTGGCAATTAGTGGTTTCTTCTGGCCTTTTTCCTTNCATATTATTAAAGCTTGAAAACTACAGAAAGAATAAAGAAAACCCCCCCCATTCTAACCCTTAGTAAAGCCTCTATTAGCGTAATTGTTTTTCTCTGGCAATTAGTGGTTTCTTCTGGCCTTTTTCCTCGGTAAAGCTGTGTGGCATGCCCTATGTGTTTTTTATTCCTGCTTCTTTCCTTAACTTTATGTGATAAGCATTCCCTGTATCACCCAATGTGATTTGAAAATGATGATAATTAATGACTGCATAAAATTCCACTGGAACAATGAACTACCATTATGTAACTTTCCCCTTAGTATAAGACTTCTAAACTGTTCCCAAGTTTTACAGATAAAAATGTCACAAGGACAAAGGAGATGATCGGTCCTATAAAGTCCCTGATCAAAGTACACAACAGCGCCTGCGGGGTGTGCCTGTCAGAACACTGAGCCTGAATCAGGTCGAGTCTTCAGATTTAACTTCCCGCGTATAAGGACAGAGGACACATTAGTGATACATGACAGAGGACACATTAGTGACACTATGGCCCTGCAATCAGAAAAATCCAGCTTCTAGGAAACTGTACAGCACAAATTAACCTTTTTTTCAGCAGATAAAGTGCTGGGGTTCGGAGGGGGAATCTATAGATGAAAAACACCAATTGCAATGTATGCATAACATTTGGGTCCATAGTCAAACAAACTCTAAAGAAATATTTAAGAGACAGAGAAACTGAAACGCCAACTTAGATATTTGATACTATTAAGGAATTATTGATTTTTCGGAAGTGATAATATTATTTGTGGTTACAAATCCTTACTTCTGTTGTTATTGTCATTAATTCCCACCCAAGGATAGTTTTTCCATTGATTTTTTAGAAAGAGTGGAAGGAGGGAGGGGGAGAGAGAGAAACAGCCAT